GTAGCAATGTTTCTTGATTGGTGACCTCAATAAGGTGTACGCCGCGAATTTGTACTCAACTTGAAATTGTGAAGGTACTGGATTGAGGATGAATCCTAGACACGGGAGCAGAACCTATCCATCCATATCTTCTTCCAACTTCAATACAACTATCCGGACGAAAATGGTGTAGTGGTAAGTGACGCTGGTTACCATGTGCACGGTACAGGGATCAAATCGTGTGTCATACGTCGTCTAAACTAACTAAGCCCTCTACCCTCCGGGGTCGTAAAGAGCAGACTTGTCTGGGAGGATAAAAACAACTTGTACATCGGCTGGCCCCCGCAAGTCATTGTATAGGCCACATCGCATTCAAACGCCACTACGAATGTACAAATGGAAGTAGAATGCGTGCCGCATCCCAAAAAGGGATTGATCAACGGCAAATGCTTTATCCTTTATCCTTTTAATTTGTTGGGTTGAATTTAAGACGAGATTCTATTCAATATAATCTCAGTCTAAAATAAGCTTCTACTACCAAGTTTGAGATAGAAAGCCTTAAAGGCAGCGATTACGATAAAGAGGGAGCGCATCGGGGAAGCATATGCACCACACGAATCAGTTACTTGGCTGCCAGGGAAGCGAGTGTAGCGCTTTCACGACGAAAGGTGCGCTGGTTGCTGAGCAGGACTTCGAAAGCACTCCGCCCCAAAAGCGATCCGCCCACTAGTTTAGTTGGTGATTTGGACGAGCTGCGTTGCCAGCAGCGGCACAACTGGAGCAACTCGATTGGAGCGTGGTTTGGCATGTTACCTGTTCATGAGTGAAAACTAACGGCCAAAAAGGGGGTCCCGTTTTGCGTTTTCTTGACGGATTTCTCCGCTTTTTTCGCCACTGGCGTACCATTGAGCACCACCACGTCTCCTCTAAACCCTTCTTGAATTATCGTAATCGCTGCCTTTAATTCAATCTACTTCGACTCTGCAAATTCCGAAATCCTGCTTGCCCAGCAGAACTCCCAAAACCAAACTTTGAAACATCGAGGGTGTAATTGCTGTTTTAGAATACGGAACTGATCCCTACATTCATACAAGGAAATGGTAATATTTTAGCCACTGTGCTTCAGACGTCTCAGCTGGGTCTATGTACAGTTGGGAAAAAGCTTTATGCCCTTACCTGTAATACAGCTGGCTTGATTGTACTGTTAGCAATTACCCTCTCGATTTGTTTGTGATTGAAGTTAGATACACCGATGCTACGAATCTGCAAAAATTTTATTTTTAAACAAAAAAAGGAAAGAGGAAAAATAATAAAAAGAACTTTTCCCATTTGACCTTCACTGCAAGATGCTCAACACAATTTTACAAATAGGT